GCCGCCGGCTCCGCTCCCGCCTCCGCCTCTGCCCCCCGCGCCTCGCTCGCTCTTCCGCAGCTTCTCGGCTTCCCTCAAACGCTTTTCCCTGCTCGCTCGCTCTCCTGTGGTCGCGGTGGGAATGTAGAAACACATTTTTTCCCTGATGGGGCGGCAGTGTCCTTGCCCAGGGCCGTGGATGTCTTTCGGGCGCCGCGCACGGTCGTTATGGCCGTGCTGACCATGTATTGTTACTTCTGAGGTTCCATTTAGGCATTCCATATAATGAGGACCATCTGATAAACTTAAGGTTTCTTTGGTCAGTTTCACGACCTTAGGGTCGTACTTATCTTCTATACCATGAAGCGTGAGGAAAACTATGCCCAAATGTTCACCTCAGATCAAAAGGAAACGTTTGTTTTCCTTAAACCTGGCTACGTTTGACTCTAAAAATATTGTATCACTGACAAATTTTCACAGGAATGTTCCAGCAATGAACTGAAGACCCTTTATTTTCTATCCTACTGTTTCCAGTGTTTGCTTCCCATTCACCCTTTATTTTCTGTCTCTAGTGCTTGCTTCAGTCTCTAGTGCTTGCTTCATGTTAAATTCTGGACATCGAGCTGATATACAAAAACCATTATATTTGCATCAGAGAATTATTTTTAACTGGATTAAAATTATTAACATATACCACATGCACAACAAAAATGTTTGTGCCAGCTGTGTTCATGTGTAACCCCATGTTTTCAAAATCTTGTCACAATCCTGAAGGGATGCTTTTTCTCACTAGGTTGTGTTGCAAGTGATGACATTTCTCTTTGTTATCCTGGTATAACTTCATGACTGAAAATCAGTCATTATGGTTTTTCCATCTATGCCTCATTTCTGTTGGCTATGCCTGCAGTCCTCCATTTGTAGTTCAGGACTCACTGTGTCTAGGAAATTAATATAATTCCAATATGGAGAATATGCTGTGCTCATCATGGCCAAATACACACATCATTACTCACAGAGACAGAGGAAAGTCCTTGAAGGTGAAGGGCTCTGAAAGATCTCTGTGAACTCTGGCAACCCTTTTTCTCATTGATTGGCATTTTTTTCTGCCTTAATCACAGTGACTCCAGGTCACAGGTTAAGTCTGAAAAAATGATGGTGTCTAAAAATAGTGAAATTGAAATAATTGTTTCACAGCATCTTTAAGCTCAGATATTATATATAAGAACGTCTTAGCCTAGCCCTGAAGACCTATGATTCTTTTTTATCTCATCATTTATACAACTTGCCATTCCCTCTGTTCCACATGTATTACCTTCATCTCTGCAGGGAAGAGTACTGAGTTCACTGGCTTTGCTGGTGGGCAGTTTGTTCCATTTCATGCATGTTTTCCAGCAGCATTTTACAGGCACACACTGAAGAGAGCTAACCACATATTAATGGAATTCTCCACTATGACAGGGATACAGCCCATGTAGCAACGTGTTCATCACTCATTTGTCCATCTACTGCTCCCACTCACCTATTCCTCAAGATTTTGATTTGTAATGCTAAAGCAAATCCAAAAACATGAAAAATGTTTTGTCTTGGGAAAGCAACTGCTACACAAAGAAGAAAAACCCATTAGCAGCTCCCGATTTCATCCTTGTCCTACAACATCCCCTCTGACTCAACGAGTCTCTGGCCTATAAAGCACTAAAATCTAGAGGACCACTTTGATGAGATTATCAGCTATTATTCTTACCCTCTGTATTTACTAGCCTCTGTCACAGGTACGATATTGGCCCAGAAAGAACTTTCCTGTTAATTACTAATTTCTTCAAGTGTTATAATTATGTCTCCAGCATGCAATTCAAAGAGAACAGAATCTCAAGGCTCATGTCCTGCTCATAACACCCCTTAGTTTCTCCCCACTCTGGATCTCTGCTTATATTACTAACTTAAGAAAGAAGTTCTGCTACTACACTGTATATTTTTCTGACCTCTTCCAGGCTTATAGCTTTCTTTGTAGCTTCTACTGGTCCAAATACTAGCCTAATAGAGCTTGTGTGTCCCTTTAGTTGGAAAGGACCATAACTGGGTGACCCTGCTAACCAAGGGGAAGGTAAAAACAAAACCAAAACCAACCCAAAAGACCCAGACAAAACTATAAACTAAAGATAAGACCATTTACCATGAAGGGAAATTAAGCAAATGTGGTAAAATGAAAATAATATAAATCTAATCTCAAACAGACTTGAAGATAAAGAACCTACTTTTTTTCATTAGTGTTAAATACAAACAAAAATTCCTGTCTTCATCCACTGATGTGGCTGACAGTGATAACCCTTGAAAGCCTTTCTATGTACTCAAGCATGCCAAGACCTGTTTTCTTCCAAAGAATTAATAAAACAAGAATAGATTTCAATTTTTCTTCCGCTTAGGTTTTCCTTCTATTTCTTTTTTTTTCTTTCTTCCTTCCTTTATTTTTATCCAAGTGATTTTTTTTTTTTATTAAAAAGACCATGCCTTAGATTTGGACTATTAACATTAAAATTACTCAAATGTTCCCTTTACTGATCACCAGGCCTCTTTCCCAACAGCTTTGAGTAATTTCAGCTATTAAGTTTCCTTGCACATGTCTCACTGCAGTTTGAGCAAACCCAAACCCCAGCAGGTTTCTCTTTACTTACCACCTCTATACAGCTGGATGTTTGCTGATCCCTGCTTCTAGCTGCTCAGTGCTGGCCTTCTGTGCTAGTCTTGTTAACTATGTAATTAAATGTCAGATGTTGCAAACTATTAACCCAAACAGCATACAAAAGTTAAAGCTGTTGCTTTATTCCCTATTTCAAAATCAAATCAACAAAATCCTTATGGCATTTTCAGTTCCAAGGCAGGAAAATATGTGTGCCAGAAAGAACAAGGTTTATTTTAAATACATTCATTATGGAAGCAAATCTTTCCTGGGACCAAGGCAGTTTGCAGGCAAAATAGATGAAGTACATTCTTCCTGAATGTGTCCAAACCATATATATATATATATATATAGTCTCACAGGTCTCTGAAGCCAGGTGCCTGACTTCTTCACTGTATGACAGCAGAAGTGACAAGTTGCTGACCTCATTAATACATTGCAGGGAAAATCAGGCAGCAGCCAGCACTTCCAGTGTCCCTGGCAATCCAGAGAACACACTGACCTGAGGCAGAGCTACTCTGGCACCAGACCATGGACTATAGAAGCATGAACTAGAGCACAACACACGGTGAACAAGTCTTCAAAACCTTCCTCTTCCCTTCTATGGGAAAACAGCCTATAGAATGAGCTCCCAAATGCTAACATGCAATACTCCTGCTCTATAAAGATGGCACAAACAGCCTTGTCTAGAGCCAGTGCCTGCTTCAGCTTTACACCTCTGTCAAATAACAGGAAGGCAGCACCACTTAAGGAGAGCAGCTTTGCGTGGTGTGTTTCACAGCGCTCTGGCTCTTAGCCTCCAATGTGCCTACTGTCAGTGCCTGTGAGGCAAAAAAATGAGTTGCCTGCCAACCCAAATTTACCTGGAAGGGTGTCACATCAGTGTCTGAGGTGTCAACATCCAGGAAGAGAGCAGACTGCAGACCAGTTGTGCATGCACGATGTGTCCAAGGACGCTTTGTCCCTCCATCGGCTCCAAACACGTTTCTGGCTGGAGTGGGAAGTGACATTTAGATTCATCACATTGCTCCCTCCTGCGTACCAGAAGTCACAGACAGCACTGCCACACAAGCAGGAAAGTGTGGAGGGCAGAAAATACACAGAAGTGCTGCAGTGTTGAGGGGAGGAAGAGTGAGCTGCTCAGCATCACTCCGTGTGAGCTGCTCACCAGTCGGAGCAGCCTGGATTCTATGCTGATGGAGAGGATGCTATGAAAACACAGCGTGGGGTCCCCTTTCCTTGGTGGACTTCACTACTAAATGCAGGTCAAAGTGAGGCACTCTCAATTCAGGAGGAGACAATTTCTTCAGGGAGTCATAGCTGATGCAGCTTCTGTTAATTTTGCTCACTGTTCAGGGACAGTTTGTCTAAGGGCCTGAGGTGTCCCCAGTCTCCCGTTGATGACAACATTCAAACCATGCCAGGGTGGTCCAGAACACAATTTTTAAAGTGGCTTGGATTAGTTTTAGAAGACCAAATTACTCTGAGATATAAATAATTACATTCTTTGATATTTGACTGCGGACCTTTTAATTGTGTGTGAAAAAAGTAAAAAATGCATTAAGCTAATAAACACACACAGAGTAAAGAACAAAGTCCGTATGTTTTTCATCATAAGCTGCTCTCAGAAAGGTTTTGGCTCCCTGCATTTTTGCTGACTATTTTTTTTTTTTTGCTTTCCCAGGAAGGATTTCCTTCCCAGTGCCTCCTAACTAGATCCAGGTTTCAGACTATAGATTTTCAATTGCCAAATTACATGCCAAGGCAATGAAGAAGGGAGGATACAACAGGTGCCCCAACCCTTAACCAAGGGTACGGGGAGGAGTGTACAACATTCCAGGAAGCTGAGTCTGGGGACAGTCATCTCTTGCCCTGCCCTATTTGTACTGCTCCCTATAGATGCTCACCCATACCCTGAATTTAAAAGGCTTTATATGACCTCATGATACTTAGGGGCCCTAGAAGCAGTAGCAGCAGACACATTAGTATTATATAGGCAGAGGCTTGTTCTGCTGAGCTGCAACAAGTTTGTAGTTTGGTAGGTCTCACTTTAAAATTCCTTAGCTAAGTGTTAAAAGTTGCTAAACTGTGCTGGCTGGTTGGATCACACAAGTATTATTACATTTGAAACTCAGATGAAAGATGATGTCACTGAGGGCAAGTAAGGCATGGGTGTAACACTGTAATAGGAGTGTAATCACGGTTGCAGGGAGCATTTATACCTTTATCCTGTGGAACGTGTATGTGGGAATGCAGCACATAATGTAAAAGCCCTCACCTAAATCTCTCTGGAAATTGCCATCTGAAGCAAGGAGAGGGGCTCTGGTGTAACAGCTGTGCTTCCTCCAGCTGTCTAAGAATGACTGACCACAGCACTGAGCTACAGCAGGCAGAGCAGCCCAGCAGCCACATTTGTGTGGCTGGCTCTCATGCTAATGCCTCCCAACAAAATTGCTTGGGAACAGCTACTGTGCTACCTCTCCTTAACGCAGACATACCTAAATATAACCCACAGCTTATTTTCATAGGAACAAGTATTGGCAGGTCCTAAACTGCAGATGGGAACGCTTGATAATTCTCAGGTGTAGCGCCAGCCCTTGGCTGTGGTTCCTCTGCCTCCTTGCTTACGGCAGGAGGTCTTAATGATAACTGCAAAAGTTGGACAGATTTGGGTATCCAAAGGGAAGCAACTTGCAGGGAGGCCTCAGATTGCAGGTTTGTGATGAACTGTGGCCTGCTGGGGTGGCCATAAGGTGAGAAGGATTGAAGTAATTCGGATGAAGTAGACCTTACAGTGGTGCCTTCTCCAGAAGTATCTCTGGAGATCCAGATATTACTTTCCTTCTCTTATTAAATAATGAATTCTGCCTTCCTCAAGTCTCACTGGGAAAACCAAACTGCATGTAACATTCTATGTAGTCTCTTCTCAATGATATTTTTCCAAAATATCCTATATGTAAAACAGGATTATATTTCTTCTTCACTTGCTCAGCTGAAGGTAAAACCACTTCTGCCTTTTAGGTAATCTTTCCCCACATTGTTTTCTCTGCCTGAGTACATCTGTTCATTCTTTTTTAACTATCTGTTTTGACTGCAGAGCAGCTCTTTTTAAAATTGCCAAATACACCTTAACTTTCCAAAATATTGTTATTGCATGTATTTCTTTCAAACAAAGAAGAATATGTGTTCCAAGCAGCAATTCTACATCAGTAAAGTTGGTTTATCGCTTCGATGCAAAACCATAAAATAAAGAGAAAACATAGCTTCTCTGTCATTAAATTTCTGAAGTTAATTCAGGTAAGTTACTAGATTATAACTGGAGACCAGAAGCTGACATGTATATGCTTACCAGTCCTTTTTGGAAATGAGGAAAGGGTAGCAGCTGCTGGGAGAAAAGCCAGGCAGAAAACTGGGATAGTGACCATTTTAGCCACCTCAATTTTGCCACCAGTAAATGTGAATGAAGACTCTCTGTGAAGCCACAAATGAGAGCTGGAATATTTACATTTCTTTCAGTAAAGATTACTGAAGTGAATGCGTTCAAAATAACAAGAATAAGCAAAAAGGAAATTTTCATTTTGCTGACACGTCACTCACGGTCTGTGCTTTTCCTGTGTCTATATGCAATGAAGCCCCTAGGCAACTGTTAAATTTCATATCTTCCCAGCAATTGCTACCTTCATACACTAAGCAGCCAAATCAGTGGAAAGGTTCATTCATAGTTTTACATATAGAAAATAAAGGCTGCAAAACATTTTACTTCCATTTGGCAGTATATGAAGGTATATCTGCAATGCCCACATCCACTCCATTTAATCCCTGTATCTTCACCTTGTGTTACATAGTGTTGCCAAACAGGACCTTGAAAGTCACAATTTGATTAGCTCTTCTCAATTATTTTCCAGTTAAAGCAATACAGAGCTCAGGTGCAGTTTTACTGAACCTTTTTTATGGTATTTTATCATTATGGGGTGGAGGTCACAATTTTTCACTTCATTGCATTTATTCGCAATTTCACATTCCCTAAACCACAATTTTACAGCAAGCTAAATCTCTCATCTTATATATTTTAGCATTTATAAAACAGCCCTAATAAATGAAACCATGACACAAAAATAGAATTATAGCTATATACTCATGCAGTCTGAATTACTGGTTGCTAATATGTATTTAAATACTGTATTCGGATATGTTATATCAACCAATACAAAAGGGCTTGCTGTAGTGCAGTCTTTGTGATTCTTAAACAACTACAAAAGGCAATGAATAATATACTTTTTTTTCCCAAAATCAGTTACAGATTAATGAAATATTAATCCAGAGCTCTGTTCTGTTCAGCATATTACACCATCTTCCAGCAGGTATCAGTATGGATTGAGTCCTTCCTGGTTCTTTAGGAATGACCTACGGCCTACCTCTCCCCTTGTTAAAACTCGGGTTATCACAAAGTGCTCTAGTTTCTGTCATAAAAATATTTCCTTATTCCAGTGATTGCTGTAAAATGCACATATAATAATTAGGTGGGTTTTATTTAGAGTGAGAAGAGGATTCATTATTTAGAGGCTTTAGCTAAACCTTTGTGTAGCCATATTGTGTGAGACACATTAAAAAACCCAAACAGTAACATGGTTGAAAATTCTACTACTTTTAGAGAAAATATAAAAGAAGATAACATTATTTGGGAATGAAGAGCATGATTACTAAACTGCAATGCTAGTCCTTGCAAATCTTAAATTACCAGAGATAAAGATAACTTCCATAAACAACAGAAGTTTAGGAGATTGCTTTCTTTTACAAAGCTGCAGTTTTGTAACCTAAGGTTTTAAATGACTATATACTTCGAAATAAAATGGAACACGTTAAGCAAATAGCTCGATTTACTTAATAATCGGTAGAAAAATTCGTATGGAAAACAAACAAAAAGAAAACACCTCACATAGGGCAGCAGAGTAACTTTGCCTCCCTCGTACTGAAATTCCAGGAAGACAAAATAAACCAACTGTATGTTCATAAAGCTCCAGATAATAACAAAATCGCTTATGTTTCTATAAAAAACGGAATAGGAGGTTGTACGAGACACTATTTCACTAGACTTTAGCGTTTTAGTAGGTAAAACACATGGTCAAAGGAACCGGTTCTTAATCCATATTCAGAGCTGAAAAAGGAGTTTGTGTTACTTCCTCCTCTTCAAAATCAATTTAAACTTTGGAAATAGCTTCAAATCGTCAGATTTCAACTTCGACCCCAAGAAAACCCTCTAAAGAATAAGACTGAGTCGTTGCTGTGGCATTTATGTCAAAAGGAAATTTTTAATTTGCAAGGAAAAACAAAAGTTTCTCCCTTCAGAGGTCTCTCCAGCAGCAGCACACGGGATTTATCGGCTCTCCTTTAACTCAAATCGCGTGTTTGCCGCAGGAAACTCTCCCGAACGCAAGTACCTGCTCTTCTCCCCCCTCAGCGGGGAAACCGGGCGATTTGGTGGCAGAAATTCCGAGGAAAATACACTTTTGTTAGTCCAAAGAAACACAAATCGAGCACACCGAAGGGCTCCCCGGCCGTGCAGCGGGGCGGGCTCTGCAAGCCACCAATCACCGCTCGGCTCCGCTCTAAAAATACGAGCATCTGACCCGGGCCAGCCCAATTGTGTTCCCCGCTCCGCAGAGGAAGTCGCGATGTCCGAGACCGCTCCCACCGCCGCCCCCGATGCGCCCGCGCCGGGCGCCAAGGCCGCCGCCAAGAAGCCGAAGAAGGCGGCGAGCGGCTCCAAAGGCCGCAAGCCCGCGGGGCCCAGCGTCACCGAGCTCATCACCAAGGCCGTGTCCGCCTCCAAGGAGCGCAAGGGGCTCTCCCTCGCCGCGCTCAAGAAGGCGCTGGCCGCCGGCGGCTACGATGTGGAGAAGAACAACAGCCGCATCAAGCTGGGGCTCAAGAGCCTCGTCAGCAAGGGCACCCTGGTGCAGACCAAGGGCACCGGCGCCTCCGGCTCTTTTCGTCTCAACAAGAAGCCGGGAGAAGTGAAGGAAAAAGCCCCCAGGAAGAGAACAGCTGCGGCCAAGCCTAAGAAGCCGGCGGCTAAGAAGCCCGCCAGCGCTGCCAAGAAGCCCAAGAAGGCGGCGGCGGTGAAGAAGAGCCCCAAGAAGGCGAAGAAGCCGGCGGCTGCAGCTGCCAAGAAAGCGGCCAAGAGCCCCAAGAAAGCCGCAAAGGCAGGCCGCCCCAAGAAGGCAGCGAAGAGCCCGGCTAAGGCGAAGGCGGTGAAGCCCAAAGCGGCCAAGCCCAAGGCGGCCAAACCCAAAGCGGCCAAGGCAAAGAAGGCGGCGCCCAAAAAGAAGTAAATTGTACCGGGAGAGTTTTGTTCTACATACTTTGTTATCCAACGGCTCTTTTAAGAGCCACCCACACTTTCCCTAAAGGAGCTGATGCACCGAGATCGTCCGTAACCTGCAGCAAGGGTCCACCAATTCGTAAGTCGTCAAGAGGTCAATTGTGTCTTGTGTTTTTTGTTCCCTAGGATTACCGAAAGAGAGCCTAAAGAACGCGGTAGAGCGCGGCGGCTTTAGGGAAGTGTAGACTTTTGTCTTTCCTCCGGGTGATTACTTTGACTACCGAGAAACGATGTTTTGTAATGATTTGATATAAAAAAAAATCGTATGTATGTTTTTTTTTTTTTTTAAATATATATTTTATAACAAAATAATGCAATTGCCAGGCACGCTACTACTGAGCCATGTCTAATCTATTGAATTATTTCTTATAAAGTATCTCCGTAAATGCCTTTGTCTGTCTGGGGGGAGGAAGGGAGGGTTTCTTTACTGACACATAAATAGCCCTGATCTCTGCCAATCCTTTTGTTCCCGATGAGAAAGAGCTTTAAGTGTTGAAAAAGCCCGCCCTGCTCAAGGATTGGCCAGCGGAAATCCCGGCCCGCTGCCCTTCCCCCTCCCTTCCCCGAAGACGATCACGCCTCTTACCGCTGGAACTGTGTCAGCCACTCGGAGAAGAAAGAGGCGGACAAGGGGGGAGGGACAGGAACTCTCAACGAACAGTGTCCCCTGTGTTCTCCCAAAGAACTTAAAGGAAAATATCTCATACCTGGAATAACTTGCATGGGGAGGAGGACGTTTTGGCACGACTTTTGTTAACGAAAATATGGAAAACGTCGCTACTATATCCAACCAAAAATAAAAAATAAGTTAAAACACGGGTTGAGTAGTTAATACAAAAGGGCTTGCGCGCTGTCATTTAGATAACTCAGCTCTCTTAGGACCTTGTGGGTGGCTCTGAAAAGAGCCTTTGGGTTTCTCTGGATGAAGGTCTGCAGCCTTGGTTGTTCGGTGCTCACTTGGCTTTCGCCTTGTGGCTGTCGGTCTTCTTGGGCAGCAGCACGGCCTGGATGTTGGGCAGCACGCCGCCCTGCGCGATGGTCACCTTGCCCAGCAGCTTGTTGAGCTCCTCGTCGTTGCGGATGGCGAGCTGCAGGTGGCGGGGGATGATGCGCGTCTTCTTGTTGTCGCGGGCCGCGTTGCCCGCCAGCTCCAGGATCTCGGCCGTCAGGTACTCCAGCACGGCCGCCAGGTACACCGGGGCGCCGGCGCCCACGCGCTCCGCGTAGTTGCCCTTGCGCAGCAGCCGGTGCACGCGGCCCACGGGGAACTGCAGCCCGGCCCGCGACGAGCGCGACTTGGCCTTGGCGCGCGCCTTCCCGCCCTGCTTCCCGCGCCCGGACATCGCTGCACCAACACAATTCTCGTCAGGAGCCTCACTCAATGCGCCCAACTTCCGAGCTCGGCCTTATATGCCTTTTCAGCGGAAGGCGCGACTTTCGATTGGCTGAGACAGGAACGAGACTGAAGCAGCCAATAGCTAAGCGGATCTAGATTTGACCAATGGCAGTGCACGCCGTAGCGCCAACGATGCAAAAACTTAACTCAGCCAATAATAGTTTAGTATGCGGGAAACCCTAATTTGCATAACCGCCCTATAAATGCGGGCGCTCAGAGGAGTTATCAGTTTTCTCTCCGAGAAGCCGTTCCTGCGGTTGCAGTGAGAGCGTTCGCTGCCATGCCCGAGCCGGCCAAGTCCGCCCCCGCGCCCAAGAAGGGCTCCAAGAAGGCGGTGACCAAGACGCAGAAAAAAGGTGACAAGAAACGACGCAAGAGCCGCAAAGAGAGCTACTCCATCTACGTGTACAAGGTGCTGAAGCAGGTGCACCCCGACACGGGCATCTCGTCCAAGGCCATGGGCATCATGAACTCCTTCGTCAACGACATCTTCGAGCGCATCGCCGGCGAGGCGTCGCGCCTGGCGCACTACAACAAGCGCTCCACCATCACGTCGCGGGAGATCCAGACGGCCGTGCGGCTGCTGCTGCCCGGCGAGCTGGCCAAGCACGCCGTGTCCGAGGGCACCAAGGCTGTCACCAAGTACACCAGCTCCAAGTAGGCGCTTTCTGCGTCCCTCGTCTGACATTTTCAACCCAAAGGCTCTTTTAAGAGCCACCCACCTTTTCAGCAAAAGAGCTGATGCTAAAGCGAGTGTTTACCTGTCCTGTTTGTTTTCGGAGGGCGGCTTGGGGGGGGCGGGAAATGTGTAGCTGCGGTCTAATGGTACCGTAGATCTCAGTGAAAGCCGGTTTTACAGTGCGGTAGACGGTTGTGTCCTGCATCTGCTTCAACGGAACCCCGAGGACGTTCATAACCGCTTTATTTAACTATCAGAGTCCATTTTAGTGTACGTGAAGTACGGAGGCGGCGGGTTACACAACAAATAAATGTCGGTAGTCGCTCAATTTAAGCAGCTGAAGAACATACGTTCCTGACCGCTGCTACCTGGGTTTCTTTGGTGTGAACCGGGAGCATTGACAGCCAAGGTGTCCAGTGGGTTTGTTTCCTGCTCTGACTAAGAGCAAAAGGCTGCGAGGTGGATACCCACGCCCGCAATGTGCGCTCTGGCGGGTGACCAGGGGTGTAGCAAACAGGAACGCTTCCTCGCCTACGGCCTCAGCAGTCCTTTCACATCCAGGGCCAAGCACAGGGTACCCAGGCTCGCATTTTCCCGGCTTTCATCGACCTCTCTGCCCCCGCTCCGCACAGACTCCGCGGCCGAGCAGCG